TTTTTTTTTTTTTTTTTACATGCATTACAGCAATAGCGTCTTAATTTGTCATTGACATTTGATTTTCATTTCACGATGACGGAGGTCAAAATATTACTGTCAATGGTCGGCGATAGTCTCCACTAGCTGTTGAAGATACTGTACTTGTGCTTACTCCTGCAGTTACTGACGGGCTGTTTACGTGATTTCCTCCAACTTGGCCATACTGACCGTATGGATTATAATCCATTTGATTACCGTTCGGCGAATGTAAGAGTGCTTTCGAATCGGAGACGGCCCTGCCAACAGGGCCGCCATTACTACTTCCGCCAGACTCTAAATGAGGTGTAGTTTCGCGTTCATCTACATTATTCGTGTTATTTGATGTCGTCTGATTGCTATGCTGTGGACTTGAAATGCTTAAGCCGTTAAGAAAATGCTGATGCTGTTGATGTTGCTGATGAACGGAGGGCGCGGGCGTTGATGAGTTATGCTGTTGTGCTCCATATATTTTGGATATATCGAAAGCGTAATTTGCAGCCCGATCTTGATACATTTTCGAATCGAAATATGCCTTTGTAAGAACGCTAGGATCCAAGTAGGCACTGTACGCAGCACTTGCCTGAGCGGCTTTAGACGACTCATACAATGATCCAGCGGTGGCAGCTGTGCTTAAATAGGAGTTGCGATCTAAGGCGAATTTCGGTACATCCATTTGTCCTGAAATTGAACTCTGTAACGAGACAATAACAAAATGTTTGTCTGGATTATTATATTGCGCTCATATTTGCACAAAACAACATTTTCAAATAACAATAATTGTATTGTATCGTTTTACAATTTTAGGGTGCCCCAGACCGACACACCGTTCGCACAGTTTGTTAGATTGTTAGATGACGGTGTCTAATTGCGCATAATGACACTTTATTTAATACCGTTTGAAAAATTTTCATTTCAATGAAACGAAGAACGGGCACCCTCTCTAAAGATAACATCAGCATTAACATCAACATCAATATCAACATCAATATCAACATCAACAGCAGTAAAATTGAGTTGAATCCTTTAGCCACAATTAACAATTCAAGTGGAAAAGCAAACAAATCCATTCGGAGCAGGTTTTCTAAAACAAACACAAACAACGGCAATAAAGGCAAATAAAAAAAAATTTTAATGCAATGTAATCGCATTTACAGAATTGTTTTCAATTTTTTTGAAAACGCAAACAAATTGTTTGATTTGAAATCAGTTTTAAGTTAAATCGTCGTTATCTTACAATAGAATGAACGAACAAACAAACGAACGGACGAGTGAATAAACATATATATATATATATATACATATATATATATATATAATTCAAGGGTGGTTTCTTGCTTACGCGCTAACGGGGCATCTCATTCTCTTTCTTTCTCTCTCTCTCTCTCTCTCTCTCTCTCTCTCTCTCTCTCTCTTTATTGCCCGAAGCGATACCGACGGCGGAAATGCTGTGCAGTCGTTTCTACTTTTATTGTACAAGGGGTATTTAGGTTATAATTACATTGTTAACACATCACCATCGTCGTCGTCGTCGTCGTCGTCGTCATCATCAGCACAGTCCTCGCTTTCACACAAAAACCATTTCATTGTTTATGCCAAACATCACCTCATAAAATTCGCAACAATTTGGGAATTGCCATAACAAATGCATGGCGCACATACACATACAAATATCATCTCAATCTACAGTACATATACAGTTTACTATATATTCATCCATCCATCTGGTTGTTAACATCAATTAATTGAAAATAAATGTGTATAAGTGATTGCGTGCGTGCATATGTATGCAATGGGTGATGTGAGCCTATATACGCGAAGAAATTAAATTTACGGTAAGCATAAATTATTTGTATTTATATTTAACGTGATTTTTGACGTAAACATAAACATACGCATACACACACATTATGGGCGCCTGCATTTACATATAAATATAGTAAATATTGTATAACAGCGTCTACTCTTCCTTCCTACATATGGGCATAAACTAGCAAACATCTTTCTTTTTTTTTCTTTCAAAGCGTTTTCCGCTTTGAGAAGTGAATTTGGAAACTTTGTTAAATTTCCTTTACTTGTGCACTTTGGTTTACACAAACTTTAGTTGGTTCAGACTTGCGAAAATTAACAAACTTTCAAAATTTCAAGAGGAAAGTTACTTTTCTTATATATATATATATATATATATAATGCGTAGATCAATAACTTTCGGTACCGGTATTTTTTTTAGAAATTTCAACGTTTCATCCGTCACTCAACACTCGAAACACGGTTCAGTTTCTGCCATATATTCATCAAATTTTTCTCAATGGAGAACCGCTTTCAGATGGACAAAGCGTCAACAATCGCTGTAGGCCAGATTTATGGCATATTTAGAGCGAAAAATACCAATTCGAATTTCAATTTATGGATGGATAAATGGAAATGCATTTGAACGCTAAACACGGTACCCACTTGGGAAACAACTTTCTCACGCTAACCAGTGAACGCACTGCCATTTGATATCCTTAGGATATATATGATATCCGGCAAAGTTCGCTTTTCGCTTTTCGCCGCCGAGATTAATTTTAAGAAATTCATGTTATCTTTTTGCTTCTTTCGCACCTCGACTATGTTCAGCATTCTTGGCGTTCGCGTCACATCATTTAATTCACAAAAAAACAATGTTCACATTCGAGCGATATCTGTCGTCGTTATCACTTTTCAAATCAGTAGTAACGTTACAATATTTCACTATAACTAATCGTTGGCGCGGGGGGGGAAGGGTTGCGCGGGGTTTTAATCGTTCAAGTGTTAAGGTATTTTGTAAAAATGATATAGATTTGTTAGTGTGAACGATATCTATGTGTCCCGGAATTTATTGATCGATGTATTAAAGTTTTCAGCCTATGATCGTATTGATGACATGCACATTAAGCGTACAATATGTACGCACACTTTTTTTTTTTTTTATATGTAATGGAGTTTAACGCTTAATGAATTATAAAAATTTTTTTGGTACGCATTTTCTTGTCTTTCAATATTTATTACAAATCTGCGTTCCTTTGGGGGCATTGTCCAATCATTCTCGACGGCTTTAAGAGTGCTTTCCAAATTCATTTTTTACGCTTATCAATAATAACGAAGAAGAAGAAGAAGAAAAAAAAAAAAAAAAATCAAGGTGAAAAAGCTGGCCTAAGCGCGTGTTTATAAACATCACAAAAAAGAAAACAAAATACGCCCAAGTGTTAAAATTGTAGCTTTCAACGAGCACCCATCGCATACACGCACTAATTTATACGCTTACAGGCACAAATGTACACAAGAACAAACAAACGAACGAACAAACAAACAAACAAACAAATAACCACACAGTACAATCTCATCAACATCCATCAAACTCTTCCACATTGTTCGAAATTCCACTCAGCAAACAAAGCTAAACAACAGTCATGGCTTTTAATAAGTCGTTAATGAATACATTGCAACGCGTTAACAAGGCTGTCACACCAATTGTGGAATACAATAAATATGTGCATGCATATATGTGGTATCTGTGGTGGTAATGTGTGGGGTGGCAAAGTTCAAGAAATCAGTGGAGCGGGTTAATGAGGCAATACTGCTACTACTACTACTACTACTACTACTACTACCACTACTACTACTAATACTACAACTGCTGCTGCTGCTGCTGCTGCTCGCAAGCTTAGGAAAGTGAAAAGGGGGTGGTACGGCAATTGAAATTGGCGTGGTTGGCAACACACCTCTTGCCAATGGCTGTTGCCAACACACATAGTTGTTATCATAGTGATTTTGTTAAAGTTTAACAACTTGGGAATTCACTCTTTTTACAACCATCATAATCCATTATGCACTATATTAGGTTCACGTATGTCTGTGGTGTGACATCTCTTTCGCAGATTATGTGATGTTTGATTCATGATAGAGACCAAAAAATAAGTGAAGTATACTGACAAACAGGCATACAGGCATACATTAATATATATATATATAAGTGTATATGTATAGCAAACATATGTCGTTTCTATATATATATATATATGTATGTAAATGTATTTATATATATATATACATATTTTCCGTATTTGTTAAGATTCCTTTAATTACTACTTAGTTATATGCAGAGTCCTTTACGTCATTAATGAGGTTTCTGCGAATAAGTTCACTTATTTGCCTATCATATGGTTCGGTTGACTTTACTCACTGTTGGGCTAACACAATGGGATCTTGGAAATGCAGCTGTTTAATGCTTCAATTAAAGTATAAATTTTACTCGCTCTCGCTTGCTTGCCTGCACTGAAGTTGCCTTTAGCCAACGTCATAAGCCGTTGAGAAAACTTCCAAAGCGTAGTAGTTAGTTATACAATTTAATTACTTGTCACACCGATGGATGGCGAAATGTTGTTCTTGCATTCTCGAGCGCACATTCATGCACATATATATACCTATATATATATATATATATATATATATGTAAATAAATATATTATATATATATATATATATCACATATTATATTGTATACAATCGAGTCATGTGAACAGATCTGCCTTGCTTACTTGGCGCATTAACAATGATTACAATTGAAAAATTACAAGGTGTTACTGTATTAATGAATGCCTAAATGCTCTTGTTAGCAGCAATCGTATGTACACTCGTAAGCATGACTCGTCATAAAATTAACTTTAATAGATTGATGTAAGGCAGGCAGCTTTTCTTCTTTCTTTTTTTTTTTGTATTTTTTTTTTGTTTTTTTTTATATTTTTTCTTTCTTTCCTTGCAATACAAACAACATTTGTGTTAATCTCACCGCAGAAAACCAACGTATATTATAGCATTTAGTTGATTATATTTGTATTTTTATTTCATTCATAAAAAGATGTTCCAAGTTACTTACTTATTTTGCGTACCTAAAAAAAAAAAAAATTAAAAAAGAAACTGGACAATGAAAACACACCCACACTTATTATAAAGCAAAACGGAGTAAAGGTGCTGTCATTAAAAGCTTTCAAGTGGAATATCACTCAGTGTATTACAATCAGTGAAAGAGAACTATTTTTCATATTTCAGTTAGTCCAGTGACTTTGGTCAGTTCATCTATTTCGATTTTGATTATGCTTTTACTATATATTATAAATTGTAAAGTCATGCACTGATTAGTTACGCATTATGCGAGAATTGATACTTACTTGCGAAGATGGTGGATTTGTTTGAGTCAGATGACTACCTAAATGATAAGCTGCCGCAGCTGCCGGTCCCGATGCAAAATAACTCGGCGTTATACCTGAAATGAAAATCTCAGTTCAATTTTATTGCGTTAATATGTTGAAAAATTGATATTAAATAACTTTTTACACATGTTTTAGCTCAATTTTGTTCCCACTCTCGCATAGTGAACTAACTTTAAAAGCGAAATTACTATCAAATAGAATATATTGTCTTTTCTATGTATTGAAAGCACCTTATGTCTATCACAGGATACAGGCTTTCGTAGCCAGTTCATAGCGAACTATTGTTTCCAAACTAAAATTTTCGAGCGAATTGAAAATTGCGTATATATCGAATCAAAGCAACTGACCGAATAGCCTGCTTTACATCAAGGTTGAGACTTTGTTCAATTTCCGCTCTTATCATATGCATGCTTAAGTCTTGATTGAATTGATTTCAGCCGAGCAAATTGCAGATTGCAGAGCAAAATCCCTATCAGAGAGCAAATCTCCGTAACGGAACTTCATGGCGTCCATCACTAGATGGACATTTTCGGATAGCCTCTTCAAAAATAAGAAATTAAAATGTATCAAGTCAGTGTATAGCCAACGTACGTTTTAATGATAAATGGATTTCCTACAAGTTACGACTCTTAAAATATGAATACAATTTTGGATTTTAAACGTGCATCTAATGCTACGCATAGGAAATGCTTATAGTGCATTTCTTTAGAGAAAAATCGAATGTCAAGCCAAGCAAAGCGATAAGCCTCCGATTTGGACATAAATTAAAAGTAAAGAAATCAATGGACCGAATTTTTATTAGGTAAATCGGTGCTGAAACAGAACAAAATCAGTCATTTTTGAGGAGATCGATTGGTGTTAGCATACGATACGAACGCTCGGCATGAGCGATAAATGAAGCTACACAGCCAATTGATGCAGATTGATGCCAAGTAATGCAATTTGGGCTTGATGGGATGGAAAAAGCACAGTGTCTCATAAGGTGCTTTAACGTCCTTTCATCCACTTCTCTTAACATGAAATAGGGATAGACGCCATCATTCATCAGGACAATTCCGTAGAAGCCGGGAAGTTCTGATGCATTTATCGCGTGACTCGAAATTTACCTGGTCCATCTATAGTTTGGAATGGCACAGCACATATTCAAACTAATTTATAATGAAATGTAAGAAAACTGGTTTCGAATTTTTGATCGACGAAATGTCATAAGCATTCAAATATTTAAAGCCGACAAAGCCGTTTCCGAACAATGGCTGTTGGAATTTATGCCTAAATTTATTAACACAAACTCGAAGATAGAAAGCCGCTTCTTCCCTTTGCTCTATTGTTTGTTAGCTTAGGAACCCATTTAAAAAAGAAAAAAAAAAAAAAAAAAAAAAAAAAACACAAACAGAGCGAATTTATTATAATGCTATCCACCACGTGTCAGCTATTCGAACGGAACTTTTTCACATTGAGCTTTTGAATCCTTTTATAGTGCGCTCATATTGGGGATGATTTCATTGATTTCGTCAAATCATTTCACTTGAAATCACATGCGCTTACTTACATTGCAATCAAATTATTAAGTGACTAATTTTGACTATAAGCATATGGTTTTTTAATGATAATAAAGAATGAAAAAAAAAAAAAATATTGACCATTTAAGGAACAAGCCACCTATAGCCCTGTTTGCTTTCACAATTTCACTTAGATGATATGCTTTCGATTCGGGGCGTTTTTATGCTTGTATTTATCTTGCCTTTCTTAACCATTCTTTGCGAAGACGATTTACTTTCTTGTTTTTTAGCTAACAAATAAGCAAACACTTACGACAACGCTGCATTAAACACTACTAAATTCTTCTGAAAGTGAAAACGTGAACGCTCTTTTTCTGTTCGTGAAAAAAAAAGAAGAGAATTCAGAATTAGTAGGGACGCAATAACAAGTTGAGTATATCGAAAAAATAATAAGAAGAAGAATATATGATGAATTCGCATTCGTAACCTCTGTCAGTAGTCGCAACGAAGAAAGGCTCGCGGCTGTCAAATACTCAAAATTGTTCAAGAAAATTGTTGCAGGAGAAGTGTGGGATATATGAGAAAAGTTGTAACATTCCCGTAGTAGATATTTCAACTCAATTTCATTACTTGGTCTTTTCTTTTATTTCAGGTGAATTTACGCAAAATTTCCAAACTCAATGAAATCAGTCTCAATGTAAACGCACTATTAGGAAATATTTGCGCCAAGTTCTGTATCAATATATCTCTTTTTCGTTTCGCTAATGAAGTTTGCCACTGATCTCGGTAAACATTTGTTTCAGATTTTAGCTCCATATCTGACATGGTTTGTAGTTTTCATTTTTACCTGACGCGTCCATGTTCAAGCTTCGCTTTTGACTATCAGCTATTGATGTATACGTCAAGGTGAAACTTTCAGTTTTTGCGGCCGAATAGATTGAAATCTTCCTGGCAGAGAATTCCCTAAACATTTTAATTTACGCTCAGACAAGAATAAATTTGATATATTAGGTAGGACAACTAGGTAGGAGAAATAGTAAGACAGATAGTTTATTCCGTTGCACCCAAGCACAGCGTTGGAAGGCAAAAATATTCCATTTTCGAAAGGAGAGCAACCTACAGCAAGAAAATATCAATTTGCTACTATGAGCCTTCGGTGAAAAACAAGAAACAGGCGACTATTTCTAAAAGGTTGGATACAGTTATTATTACAGGTATTCAAAGGTATTTGTCGTAGTCAGAATTCGCCCTCTGAAGCACAAAATTGAAGCAAATTTCTAAAATTATTCGTATTTAGGAGAAAACCGCAATTCGTCAATGGAAAGTTCTAATGTGAACGATATTTCAGTTTTAGATTATCTTATGGATATGAGAGAATAGATGATTACAATTTATAATACACTGTATAAGAATGCGAAAAAATATGGCAATTGATTACTTACCGGCACGTAATGCCTCGACCGGTACGGAAGGGTATGGCATTGGATAGGGGTATCCATCTCGTCGAAGAGCCTTGGGTTTTCTTCGCGGACGATACTTATAATCTGGATGTTCTTTCATATGCATTGCACTGTAACGATTTAAGGATTCACTTAGAGAGGACCTTCGCGAAGGATACTTCTTCTTCTTAACTTACCGAAGCCGTTTTGCTTCATCAATGAAAGGCCTTTTTTCCTCTTCTGTCAAAAGTTTCCATTCGGCTCCTGTTGTATTGATAAGAAACAAGGAAAGCTTGTTATTTCGTAAGAAAGCAAAATTTTATGAGCAATAACTGAAGTAACAGAGTTCCGATCTTCGGAACTCATTACTTCCTTCATTAATTTCTTCATAATAATTAGGTTTAATCAAAGTTCTATAAACGAAGCGGACTTGCAGCACATACTGCATACTATATCGTCGAAATCAATCCATTGTACAATTTCTGCTCTAATAAAGGATCGGTGGAGAGCAGGGTAGTGCTGACCAGCAATACTCATTCGTTTCGTTGATCGGAGCTTTAACACTGACGGACAAATAGCTACATCGGTCTCAATATTACGTTAATCAAATGTATCAAATATAATTGCTTAACGAGATCTCTGCTATGCCTGCGCATGAATGTGTAATGTCTTCGCTGCTAATATGTAGAACATATATAGAGACTGGCTTTAATTTAGTTTAGAATTATTTTAATTGAGAAGGAAGGGTTCCGTCGGTAAATTTGCACGCTATCATTTTCGCATTTATATGTCGATGCCTGGCTCAGTTATTATTATATTATTAGCAAATAAATAATTCATCTAATAGATTAATTTCAACAAAGGAACTGTCATGGTCAACAAAACGATTATAACAAAAATATTAAGCATTTAACTGTAATGACAATGAAAAAGAAAAAGAAAAGGAAAATGAAGTGTACAACACACATCTATACCGGCAATATGAGCTCGAACGTGCGTTTATATTGAAACTTGGGTGAAGATAGACAACACACAAAAAAAATGTTCATATATTCCGCAATGAAAAGACACAGGAAAGGAAAATAAAGTAATTATTTGATTCGAAATCAGTGGATACCTTCTCTTTCTCTCTCTCTCTCTCTCTAGTGTGTGCAACTGAATGCGACACTTCAACAAAAGGCCATCATGTAATCGACTTCTCCATCAACGTTGCGACATTCCTTATTCCTGGAATTCCTTTTTAGGGCAAGCTTACGGGTACTTTTCTCAATAAGTGTATAAAACTGTAAGAATAGAATATATTCCCCTTAAAGGGGAAAACGGTGGGATACACCCTCCAACAGAAAGACTGTATTCACGTAGAACAATACGTTATTTTATTGTTTCTTTTTTCATATCTCTCAAAAGTAGACAACTGACGACTGACGACTGACTGACTATACAACTTGTTACTTATACTTTGGTAATAATACTTAAGTGCAAACATTCCAAAATGTGCAACAGTATGGCACGGTTGATGAACGTACGGTTCTCATCAACATGACAATGATAAATATTTTCTCTCACTATAAGATGCTTCGGAAATGTTTATTGAAAATTGATGCAATTGATGATGCAATCCGCCAACTTACATACTCTCCACATATATATATATATATAGATATTGAGGACCTACATTGAGGAAACGCATGAACGAGATATTTTTGAAAATACATAACAGTATATAAAAAACTGAATATTTGAACCGTGTCTAGAATTAAGACTAAATTGTTCCATTCATTTTGTCTTATTTTTATACGTATCTCATACACATTACGCATTAAATTACCGAAGTAATTCATTTTGTTTCACTATTTATTATAATATTAAACAATAAGCTGCGTTTAGTTACACTTTACACTTTGTGTACGAAAGCACGGACAGTTAATTTTAGCGAAGGCTAGGCGATGTGCATGATTCCTCATTACACATTCTCTCAGTGATAAAATTATAATCGGCTTGAAATTGAAATTTCGATCCTCTATGCATGGACTTGGGCGATTTTTTTTTTTTTTTTTTTCATTTTTGTATACGTACTGTACCACAACCTTCTTATAAATTGGCCCGCGATGGCTAATAAAGGGAGTAGTAAAACAGCACGAAGGGATACTATATGCTGGTATGTATTTGCTAATATCTATGAGCTACAACTCAATTTGAAATTTGCATTACACTTTTTTGTGAAAATAATCTAAAAGAAGCTAAGCGATTTGCTTTCATTATCGTTCGCAATGTGCATTGATGGTTTGCTTTAAGGCGCTCAGCAACTTATCTACCTATATTCTGTTTGTTATGTATGTAGAAGACATGCGGTATGTACCGCAAAATTCCTGATCTGCATGAAGCGGTAATATCTTGTTGCAACGTATCGATGTTTCTCTGTTGAAATAACGATTACGATCTTTACGGACTTTGTCTAAATTATTCGAAGCGATTTTAAGTTTTTACTTTCTACTCTTGTCAGATTAGGTTTAAATAAATCAATGAAAAAATATCTGTGCTTACGTAAGCTTACAATTGATAAAATCTCAAAAATTTTCACTATATCCGCTTTTCGAATGTCCTTTATGAGGTTCTCATCTCTCCTCTCATGGACGATGTTATGTTTCTTTACCGATTTTTATACTCAGGTGTGCGGATCTATATATATATATACGACAACATATTTGAATATACCCAGCGCTGTTATAAGACATTATTTATGCGATGATGTCATATATATTTGATTAATTATTTTTTCATTTATTTCTTTTAATTTTTTTATGTGATTTGGTAAATAAAAATGATATATTTTTAATAAAATATATATATGTACAAAGAGAAATTAAAATAAATAAATAAAAGCGAACAGCTTTTTCGAATTTATTATAAATTCGCCAATCAGTGGGGATAGTGGAGACAGGAGTGGAATTACGTTCCAATTTTATGGCCCGGAAATATGCATCGCAAACTTATAAAGTAAATTCACTTGTGATTAGCATAACGTTTAGAATCGATTTAATTTTGTTCGTCTATTCGTCTGTGCATCTCTACTATTCTCTACCGTTTGCTATTGGTGTTTGCAACTTACCTTACAAGTGCGTATACAATTCCTACCTACCTATCGAATTTAACAATTTTATAAATTTGGGTACAAAAAGGAACGTGCATGCAAAGCAGAGACATTTTCATACATATGAGTGTTGCTTAAAGTTGATAACATATAAAAAATATCAAGCCTTTTATTTAAATGTCAATATTTGCAAGAGATTTTGAATAATTTATAAGCACCAAGACTGCTATTTTTAAGTCAACACAAGACAAAGGCATTGTATCCTTAATACTTCTGTGTAATGCTTATCATGTTATGCTGTACACAAAGCATGCATTATGGGAAGATTGACAGTTTACTGAGAACATTTAATAACGTATAAGGAAATTACTTTGTGCAAACCTACGCAATTGCATACGTTTTCAGTTTTCAGTTTTTGCGACTGACGAAATTATTGATCTACTTGTTGTAACCAAGTAGAAGCACTAGATATTTGGGTAGCGTTAGAAACTTGCAAACCGCACACCATCGTTTCTAACCTATTATAAATTTTCGCATAACATCGATGCCTTGCCATCTTATGTTCCATTCGTTTATTGAATCGATTTGATATAAATATTGTGGATGATATTCATTCAATGCCGTATGAATGGATGTGGAATCGTTACCTTGCAGATAGCCAGAAACATGTACTAAAAATAATTTAAATGGCTTTCATAGCAAAAAAAAAAGAGAAGAGAAGAGAAGAAATAATATCTAAACAAAAGAATTTGAAGCCTGCTTTTGCGCTGGTAGACGCACCTGTCAGTTACATTGCCCAAGTTTGAGTACAACCCTAAGAAGTGCTATAATAAACAAAAGAGAGAAAAAAAGAAAAAAACAATGAACATCGTTCACCCACCCTGCCTCTCGTTCGAAATTATCAAGCAGAAAATTATAATAAAAAAGGAAAATCCATCCAGACCAAAACAAATCAAGCCAAACCTATTATTGAGCTGAATGAAAGTACAATTTTCAATTGGAAACTAATCAATTGTTTCGTTGAGGTATATATAGATAAGTATTGAACACAACAGCAACAAAAAGAGAAAAAAAAAATTGTTTGTTTTGAATCCATTGTTCGTGCGCTATTGTAAGAGTTCGTATATATACATATATCTGCTTCTTCTTCTTCTTCTCCTCTTTTTTTTTTTTTGTATTTTTTTGTATTTTTTTTTTTGTATTGTATGTGGAAGTTTTATTTAACAGATTTAATATCCCCAAAGGATGTTACTTCCCAATGGGTTTACGAGCTAAAGAAATTGCTGATTGACCCCAAAACTCTGCATAGGTACGTTTATTCACATTTTCTCCACTACATATGCAATACGACTCGCATTTGTTTATCATTTTTTTACTTTGAATTTATTCATGTTTTTGATTTTTTGCCCTTTTTTTTTTTTTTAGTATAAATGTGTGTGCCCACCACTATCGACATTGAGCTCCGCGTCGGATAAAGTTACTCCATTGTTATTTTGTCAGAATCCATTTTTTTCATTATTATACATTTTTATATATATTGTACTCGGCTTCGTGTACTATGATGAACGAACAATACGCTCTCCTCCTAACTTAAATTAATCACACTTTTTACATTTATTTGTAGGTAAAATAAAAAGGCATCCAGACTATAATTAATGACAGTAACAATTTTAACAATTATGCCGAAAACAAAACAAAATTCAAATTTATTAAGTACACTTCACATTTTCCCGTTTTAATGGAGGCTTTTCGCCCTTGTTGTTGCCGGGTAAGTGTTTATTTATTTATTTACTTTTATTTTTATTTATTTATTTTTTTTTGTTGCTTAAAAAAGAAATTCGCTTTTATATGTTTTTTTTTTTTTTTTTTATAGTCAACTTTACGTTTCAATTTTAATAAGCTCGGTACACGACAGAAAGCATTCTAAATTGAGACAATGTTTGTTCAAACAAAAATATTTTGCAATAATAATAACGCGCAAGCACGCCTTCACATCGAGCGGCAAGACAAATATTAGACACCCTCTGTTTTTTCTTCTTCTTTTTTTTTTTTGTCACAAACCGCTATGCAATTATGATCCCTGCGATCATAATTAGTGCTTACGTATCGCAGCTGCATCAATCAATGCAAATTCACAAAAAAAAATCATCTCAACTTGCACACCTAAGCACTT